CTTCTTAGGTACTATTTTCTTGGAGTTGAAATTGATCCTTCAACCACAACAGCCTCAAACACCACCCTTTTAAATCTAGGCTTACTACCATCTACCCAAGAAACTCATTGCAAAGTGCTTCTACAATATTATAATCATTTCTCATCACCACCGACATCCCATTTGTTGGAACTACGAATTAGAAGGCCACATTTTCTAGGGTTATCGTGCATTCTCCGCACATAATATGAAATGTAGGTGTTTTTGGTCTTCAACGTTCAATCATTGCACTTATCAAACTCATGAGCAACTTATACTCCCAAACAAATGTAACATAATAAAATCCAACCTCTTCTAGGTGATTTTCAATCAAAGGGTATGGTTTAGCAGGAATATTGATCCAATGACGGAGGACTCACTGCTCGTTTTTCCACAATTATAATATTCATGATTATTCATAAATAAACTTCTACCATTTACTAATAATATTTTTCTCAAATAATAATATTTTATTAAATAATAATAACCCCATTGATCCCAAATGGCTAGAAATATGTTGAGCATCGAGATGAAGTAGTTGATTTTATTTTGCCATTTCAACGAATCTGTAGAAAAAACATAATTTTAATAACATTAAAAATTTAATATAAACATTATTATAAACCAACCTAGTTTAATTTAAACTCAGTAAGAGATTAAAACATCAAAAAAATAAAAAAAAATAATTTACTTGATTATTTTCTTTTCTTCCTCTTTTCTTTTTTTTTTCTTTCTTCTTCTTCTTCTTCCTTCTCCTAATTTTCTTTCTTATCCCCTGTGCCCCCTCCCTTCCATACACTCCCCTATATAATAACAACAGAACCCCATTATTACTCAACCAACCCATGATTGCAGCATCATTGCTGCTATTATTGCAGCTATTATTGTTGCATGCATGTTGCATGCAAACTGCCATGCAGGGGCAATGTCATGGGCGAGCGCATGCAGGGGAGAGATGCATGGAGTGCAATGCGTCTTTGGGTTGTACTGTAGCAATCACCCCATTTGAAGAAATAATTTTGAGAGTGCACTATTTTAAGAAATAAAAAACTCAACTGCATTATCTGAAAAAATTACCCCTTATATAACCCTAAAGAAAAAAATATATTAAAAATATTAAAAGTATTTCAAAAAAAAATTTAAAATTTTAAAAAAATAATATAAAATTTTAAAAAAACATTCAAGAAAATAATAAAGGAAAAAATTATTAAAAAAAACAAATACGTTTATCTTGTAAGTCTCATACATACAATTCTAAAATCACTAGACAAAAACATTTTCAATGAAATATATAAAAATAGAAAGAGAGAGAAAAAAAAAATAGAGAACGTGAGGGATATTTAACTTAGGGTTGTTTGGTTTTAGAAGATAGAGATTACTTTTTCTATTTTCTTAGAAAATAAAAAAGATATTAAAGAAAATATGTTTGGTTGTAAAATTAAAAAATGATTTTCAAAGAATGAATATAAAAAAAGTGAAAATTTGAACATATAAAAAAGATGTTTCCAGTATTTTTATTAAAATTATTTTAGAAATTTGAAAAAAAAGTAAGAAAATACATTATCTAAGCTTTTGAGTTAACTTGCACATCTCAAGTCCTTCTAACAACATATTTTTTTGGCTTAATAGCATCTAAGGACCTCAAGCTTTTTTAAAAAAATTTATTAATGTGGCCTCAAAACTATTTTCACTCAATATAACCCTCAAACTGAGAAGAAGAAAAAAACTAAGTTAGTTCTTTAACCAATAGAATCAAATGTTGACCATTATAAGCTAATGTTGTGGTTTGCAATGCTGACATGACATCCATGGCAAATGCTGATATATAGAAGGGGCTTAATTATTTTTTTGGTCGAGTAACTCAAATACACTGTCTCAAATTCAACTCCTTCAGCGTGAGTGTGTACATAAGGCTCTTGTAGTTGGTAAAGATATGGAAATTTTCACAAAACAAGTAGTTTCTCTATATCTAAAGTGCAAAAAATACCACTGTAGGCTCTAGATCGTTGGTAAAGTAATTACGCTTGTGGGGCTTGAGTTGATAAGATGCATAATCTACCACATTTCCTTCTAGCATAAGAACACATAAAAGGCCATTCAATAAGGCGTCGTTAAACACTGTGAAATCCTTTCATAATTCCAGTTGAGTCAAAACTGAGGCTTGAGTTAAGATGACCTTCAACTGTTCAAAATTTTTCTATTTTTTCTTGTCCCAAACAAAGAAACTCCCTTTTGAAGTAGTTTAATCATTGGGGTAGCTATCATTGAAAAACACTTCACAAATCGACGATAATACCCAGCAAGACCCAAGTAACTATGCACTTCAATTAAGATTTTCGGCGGTTTCCACTCAAGTATTTCTTGTATCTTATAGGGTCAACCCTAATACCATCTGCTACCACGGTATGACCTAAAAATGAAACCTCTGATAACCAAAACTCACACTTTCTAAACTTGACAAACAATTGTCATTTTTGAATTGTTTACAAAATGATACAGATGTATCAGTCATGCTCTTCTTCTGATTGTATGTACACAAGAATGCCATCTCTGAAGACCACCACAAATTGGTCTAGGTACGAGTGTAAAACTCGATTAATCAAGTCCCTGAATATCATTAGGGCGTTGACGATTTCAAACGACATTACTACAAATTCATAGCGACCATACATTATCCTAAAAGTTGTCTTAGCTACGTTGGTATCCTTGAGTTTCAACTGATAGTACCCCGACCTTAAGTCAATATTAGAGAATACGCATGCTCTTATATGTTGGTCGAATATGTATTTAATCCTAGGGAAAGGGTAATAGTTCTTGATAGTTAACTTGTTCAGTTGTCTGTAATGGATACACAACCTCATCATCCCATCATTCTTTTTAACAAAAAAAAAATGATGCTCCCCAAGGAGACATGCTTGGTCGGATGAAACCCTTCTCTAACAACTCATGAAGTTAGACTTTTAACTCATTGAGCTATGGAAACCGGAGAAAAACCCGATAACACTTTAATACCAAAGTCTAACTCTCGATTAGATGGTAATCCTGGCAATTCCTTAGGAAACACATCAGGGAAATCTCGCACAGTTCAAATATCTTGTAGCATTGGAACTACGATTCAGATGTCGACCATGTGCGCTATGAAGGTTTCACAACCTAGATCGACCATTCTTTGAGCCATCACAACCAAAACAATCCTAGAACACCCTCATTTCTCACTGACTATCACTACTTTGGTCCCATCATTCCTCTTGAGTTTAAGTTGCCTAGTTTTTCACCTCAAACTAGCATCATGCTTCGAAAACCAATCCATACCTAAGATCCCTTTAAACTCTCTAAATAGAAAATCCATTAGGTTAGCTGAGAAGGTTTGGCCTTGAATTTTGACTAGACATCGGTGATGAACCTTGTTAACAAGAACATCTAACCCTAGAGGGTTGGACACTCGCAACCCTATCTCTAAATCCCCAATATGAATATTTCTTTCTCAAGCTAAGTCATAACATACATAGGAGTGAGTGGACCTTGGATCTAATAATGTAGTAACTGGAACAGAAAACATGATAAAAGTACATGAGATCATATCAGTTGCGTCACACTTCTCCTAGGCTCAAATGGCGTACTAGCTTGAGACTACTCTAGGCTCTTAATCGGCCACAAGTTTAGCGATACCCTTACTATGATGTACGAAAATAGTACCCCCACCTCTAGAGGGTCCCTAACCTCTCAAAACTATTTGGGCCTAACCCAAGCCAAAACCCATCCTCAAATGGTCCAAGCTTTCCTATAAGTCTAGTGGGCTCATTCAAATCTTCACAGGTTAGGCCAAAACTACTAACCCGAGATTTGGGTCGTTACAGTAACAATAAAGTATATAACTATATTCTAAACATAAGTTCAAATATTAGAGAAGACGTTATTAAAAAGAAGACATTCATTAACTTTTGAATATAAATAGTAAAATGAATATAAATAATATCAAAAGATAAATATATAAAAAAATAAATATAAAATAATATGTAAATTAAAAATGTGTTTTGTTTAATTAACTTTTAGAGTGATATACCTCAACAAATTTAAGTTATCGTTCTAATTTTGCTGTTACGTGATAATAATCCTTTGTTTTAAGTTACTTAATATTGACTTAGAAATTAACACAAATATAAGTTATTTATTTAATTTATGATTGGTTGTGGTCTTTAAATAGTTTTATCCCTTATTGTGGTTCATTTGCTGATGCTGACATATCTATTCGTATCGAACTTTTGTTTGAGCTTTTTTTGAATCAGTTTTAAAACTTTTTCTTGTATAGTTTTTGTTTGATATCAAATGACTAGTTTTTTATGTAATTGTTATAGGAAAATGTACTAATTATATATTTGGTTTACGTTTATGGTTGTAAGCCTTTCATTATAATTATAGATATTTTCTCATTTTTTAAATAAAATTAACGAATTTTATTTGTGTCAGCCAAAAAATTAACATAGCTGGAAATATTTGATTGATTAAAAGGAAAGGAACACTAATAAATGAATTGTGGACAAAAAGATTTATTAAATTAATTATTTCAAACTAAATATTTTAAGGGACTGAATTTAAAAAATGGGGTCAAATATCACTATACCTCATTTCTAAAAATATAAGATCCTTTAATAAATTTTAAAAAAAAATTAGAAAGGCTATATCTAAAATATAAAATATAATTTTTTATAATTTTATATTAATTTTATAGTTTATGTTTAAGATTTATGATTATATTTTTCAATAACGACGTTTTTAAGGTTTCACATATGTTGATTAAAAATAAGATTTGTCTTAATATTACACCTAACGTTTAATAGTAAATATATCTTATTTATAAAATAATAGAAATAATATTGTTAATAATTTATTCAAAAACATTAATCCAAGAATTATTTTGCAATATCAACTATTAACAAAACTTATGATCTTCAACATCAAAATTATGAATGAAAACCCTCAATTCACCTTACGTTCATTTCACATCAGTAACATTTCAAATCCTGTACCGCTTTCCCTGTTAAATTGAGTGTCATAATACAATTTAGCTCAGGGTTCCTTCTTCTCTTCATAATTTTCATGATGTTCATTTTTCCACTCAATTTAACGTAGCTGTTAAGCTCCAATAACCCAGAACTTATGTTGCTGCTCAACCTGTTTGTATCTGATAATCCGAGTGAGCTCACGTCTATTGGTACGTTCATCCTCTCAATTGCCCTAGCTTGAGCTCTCCCTTTAGGTATCTTCATTTGTCCCACAACTTCAGATCCACACCAGACACTTCCGTTACTGTTCTCGAATCTGAAATCTCCGAAAAAATTGGTGTTCTCAACGGCGACTTGGGTCACGAGCGTGAGGTTAAACGATGGAGCCGATGAATTAGTCCCGTACTTGAAATTTCTAACGGCGACAGATCCGATATCGAAACGGGGAGTTTGGGGTCGTAGAAAAATGGTTGCGAACACCAATAGGAGCGATCCCTGGATGACCATGATAGCCAGCATGTAAACAAGACATTTGCTGCTCTTTTCGTCGCTCCTTGGGTAATCTTCAACAGGGGCCAGTGATTTGGCTTTATGATCTTCTGTCATTTTCCTATGAGTTGGGAGTTGTAGACAGATGGAGAGTTTGATTATATATATGGGAATGCAGGGTAGTTAGCGCGTTGAATAATTGTTGATAAAGTTAAAGTGGGTCTGAATTGGTTATGCATTAACGCCGGCCTTCATTTTGGGACTAACTAGCTATAAGTGAAATCCAAATTATAATATTTAATGCACGTCCATGTAGTAAGGGTGTGTAAAGAAAAATCAATCCGAATCGGACCGATTCAACCTGTTGATTCATTGATTTAATTTGAAAATTCAGATATTTGATCCGTATTTTTTTATTTTTAGATAATCCAAATTGAATATTCAGGAATGAAATATGAATAATCGGATCGGATTCGGATCACCTAAGTTTTGATTTTGAATTATTCGAAAATTTAATAAAATTGGACCTTTAAAGTTTAAATAGTCTTTAGTCCAATATGTATGTTTACTTTGAACCTCTTTAGTGTTTAACTTAAGAATTATGAAATTTGTCAATAATCTCTAGAATAAGTAGTTAAAATTTCCCAGTCGCTAAAAGTTCTCATTTGTCACCTCTCATCTCCCTAGACTGTAGATTCAATATCCATTATGAGCAAAATTATCCTTCCCCTATCTTAGATAGAAATTGTTCAAAAAAAATAGGATGTTTAATTGTTTATTATGTGAATAATTATATATATAATATAGCAGACACATAGATAATGTTGCATAAATTCATAAAATATAAAATTTAATTTTGAATTTTTTGGTTAAATTAAGTTTTGTGTTTGAATATATATATTTGAAAATAAGAAATTAATGGAGTATTATTAATTAAATAATATTAATTTAATTATAATTAATTATTTTCTCATCTCCTTATCTCAATGCCACGATATTGATGTAGGATTATATTTTTTATTAAGTTAATGTGATTACGAAGTAATATTTATTCTAAATATTATCAATTATTTGACAATGAACGATCAATTACCCTGCTACAGTCGCCGGTGCTTGAACTCATTACCTCTAAAAACAACAATAATCTTCTTACCTACTGAGATAAGTCGATTTGTGTTATATAAGACTATTAAATCTAGAATAAAAGTTTTACCAAATAAACTTTACTCTTTCTTTTATTACGTATTATAATCGATAAGTTCAAATTTAATAAATGATTCGATATAAAAAGTATGATTTTATCCATATACAACTTCAAATTTATTAAATGGATTTTTTCTTAATTAAATCAAATTCGATTAATATAAGAAGGATTCGGTGACAGAATCAGACTAATTAAGAATCATATCTTCAAATTTAGAGAGATGAGAAATTAGAAGATTATAAATTTTATTTGATGGGTTCTGTTATTTTTCAAGCTAAGGAAAGAAATTTCAGCAGCAAAAGAGTGTGATAAAAGGAAATTTGAGAGCATTGGAGTCTCACATGTTGGATCTTAGTCAGGACTTAGCTTCTTATAAAAGTCCATACCAATAACCTATATGGATATTGAAAAGTTTGATATTTTTTAATAATTTAAATTATTATAATATAATATATGTTTAGAATTTTCTTAACCTATTAATGATGCATATTGTAATACCTCAAACCCCTGGTTAGTAGTTCGGGTTGAATCAAAACCCTTAATTAGAGCCCGAAAAGACTCATTTGACTAGATGGATTTGATTAAGTAAGAATTGGGCTTGGTTGGGCCAAGTAATAGGCTTTTGGGGTAAGTTTATTAAGAAGGAGGAGGAAGAAGACCTAAAGTGTAATTTTACCAATTTTCAAATCAGAGTTAAAACCCCCTAAGATATCAATGTGAACCACTCCTTTATTTTCACTCACCAAACACTCTTCCTCATCTCTCCCATTTCTCTATTCATTTCCTTCTCATTCAAGTGAAGCTTTAAGGAGTTCATCATTTGGTTGAATTTATTTAAGGTAAGGAAATCATCCTCCATTCCAAGAGCTTCATTTCAAACCCCATATGTCAAGTTTTAAGATTGGAACCAAAAATGGGTTGTAGTGGGGTGTTTATGAAATTAAGGATTCTAGCTTGTGTTTGGGGAATGATGAATTTCAAGAAATGTTTTTAGATTCCCAATAGTCTCATAAATAAGTTAGCAACATCTTTTCTTATGCATTAGTGAAAGAAGTTGGAGAAAGGTCCAAGACAAGGGGTAAAGAGAAGTTGACCTTTGGGTGATTTTGGGGAATTTGCATCAGCTAAATCATGAAGGTAAAACCCTTATAACCTTCCAATACCATTTGTAAGCCTTACCATGCATTTATGTAGCTTGCATTAACCTTGAAGGATTAAGAACATGTTCATGGCAATTCTCAAGTTTATGTGTTTTTAAATTATATGATGACTCTATATGACCTTAATAAGTTCAAATAAGACTCTAATAATGTTTGAAGACTTCCTTAAGGTCTTTAGGAAGGTTTATAAAGGTTTAAGATGCTCAAACAGGGCATTTTTGGGTGGCAGTATCGATATTGTTTTTATACAAGTAAAAAACACATGAGTTTTCAAGTATAAGTGTCGATATTCATTCATAGAGTATCGATACCATAGGCCCGATTTCAATACTTGAAGGACGGGTTTTGATATTAAGTTTCCGAAATACCATTTTGGTACCGATACTCATGGGAGTATCGATATTAAGGGCTGATTATCTATACTCCCTATAGGGGTATCGATACTACCCCTTTACTCAAGGTTATTTTAAGATGTTGGTATCGATACTTCTATGGGGGTACTGATACTCTTGCGTCAGTATCAACACTGATAAGCCAATATCGATACTACTCTATGTTAAAAGATAAGAAATTCTAGGAATTTAGAAATACGGTTGAGGGACCCAAACCACTCCTTACTCCTTCAATAAGACATCAAGTGAGAACAATAATAACCCGGTTAAATTTCACTTAGAAACCTTATAACTTATAAAAACATAAGACTTGTCTTGTATGATGTTCGAAAAATGAGTCAGACACCCAAATCACTTTACAACAAGGGAACGTTTGTATGTTAATATATGGCCAACCTTAAGATTGTGCACTAGGCACATATTTTCTAACTGGACTTAGATGCCCCAAGGCTCAACGGATCAAGTTAGTGGGTGACTCAATCAAATGTAGAATTCTGGATTTCCACCCTAGGTAAGAAAGAGGGGTGCATGAGCTCCGAGATGTAGCCCTTCAGGCGCACCATGATGCCTACCTATGTATGTATGTTTTATCTTAGCATATTTGTATGCTAGCAATTATGTTTTAAGTATGTTCATTAGAGGATGCATATAGTGTAGTTTGGTGAATTGTGTGGCATTGAGCTTGTGAGCTCAACGTTCAGAATTTGTTTCCGTGCGCAGGTTAGGAGCAGGAATTTTTGGAGGAGCCTTTGCCTAAACCATTTAGCATCAGCCCCCAGCTTTTGAGTACGTCTCGACTTATGTTTTTGTGGGCATGTAATGTAAATGAACTTGTGTATGTCGAGTCAAACTTATATGCAAATGTTTTTGTAAACTTTAACTTCAAGTTATTTTTGTGGGGCCCCGATTTGTAAATAGGTATTATGAATTTATGTGATTATGTATGTCAAAATATGGATTTATGAAAATGAATGTGTTGCTTTTAAACGAAAAATTTTGTCGGCTACTCCAGTGGTCCATGTGTCATCATCGTCTGTCAATCTTCGAGTCGTATTGGATTAGGACGTTACACATATAAAATAATTTTGATCTCTTATAACATGTGGGATATTTGTTGGATCCTTTATAACATGTTTGTTTGGTTGTGATGGAATACAATTGTAATAGAATAGTAATTAGGCAAGACTCCAACAGAATGAAATATGTATGACATGGATGAGTTTAACATGAACATCGCATACTAAAACACATCACTAGTGCAACATACCGAAACACGATACTAATTAAATTGTCTTTAATAAAAAATATGCAAAAACTCAAGGACAATAAATGCTTAATCCACTAATTTTGTAGGATAATTTTTCAAATGGCCAGCAAACTATATATTAAAATAATCTTTTAGATATTGAACTTTCAAAAATTATATAATGGATATTAAATATTATTTTTTATAAAATAGATATGAGATCTTTAAATTCCATTAAAAGGTGAAGTGACATATTAAATCAATAAAATAATCATAATTTTTACCTCAATTTTAAATAAAATTTTATTTTTGATAATTTTTAAATAATTTTAAGTAATAATTCTAAAAAGCATTTTTAAAAATATAAAGAAATTTAAAATTTATTTTTAAAATTACAAAATATATTTAAAATTATGACTTTATAAATATTTTAATTCAACAAGTTATGTTATTTATAATTTTTTATTTAGTTATAATTAAATTATTAAAATTTATAATTTATAATTTATAATTTTCGAGAACTAACAATTTCAATTATAAAAGAGCAAAGATAATTTTTTTTAAGAAATGTTATTCAATAATTTAATTTTTTAAATAAGTTTAAATATAATTTTAAAATATATATATACTTTCAAAAATAAATTGTCGTACCCCAACTTGGGGTTAATTATTAAGCTTGTAAAAGGTAGTGTCAATTCGTGACTTCTTAAAAGTGTAAGGATTGCTTAAGTGATTAGCCCAATCCTTAGGGTATTCGAATACCCCAACCTTCTTTCTTCTTCACTTTTTCTCTATTATTTAACTCCCAGCCACAATCATTTTCTTCTCTTAATCCTTCTCCATCGTCCATTGACGGATTTTCACCATTTCATCGCCACCTTGTTTACCGTATGTGTCACCGTTAATGTCTCTCTCTGCCTTCACCAGCGTCGTTGTCGTTAGTCTTGGTGTCCTCGCCTTCACCAGCTTCGTTGTCATTATTCTTGGGGAAGGGGTAAAACAAGCATGTGTTTGTTGTAAGAAATCATATCTCCATTAAACTCCGTTGTGAACGGACCTTGGTAAGTGAATCTTCGTGCCTTAAAACTCAATGTTACAAATTTTTGTGTGATTCC